TGGTGGGTGTGATTTTACGCTCGAGCGGATTCTCCTACGCTCGAGCGCATCTCAGTTTGTTCGCACGCAGTTTTTGGTCAGTCCGCTCGAGCGGGCTGTGTTGAGCTCGAGCGGAGATCGCGGATCCAGATTCCTATTTAAAGCTGTTAAGGGTGTTTTTTTGAAGTAGTTTTTTCTAGATCTGATCTACAAGCACTAGGGTTGTGTTTAAAGTTTTCTTTGGAGATTTTTCATAGTTTTCCTTGATGTTCTTGAGAGAGTTCTGAACTTATGCATTGAGATTCATACATCAAGGAGGTTGCTTCTTAAGTTTCAAGTAAGTTCTCTTCGGTGGATTCCGAAGATTAAAGCGTAGAATCCAAAAGGCGTTTGATTCTACGCAGTCGTTAATTCGACAAGTGAAGTTGTGGTGTGGAATCAACTTCAGGATCAATTCCGTGACGAAGGCATGGTGAAAGAGTTACAGAAGATTCAGAGACAAATTGACTGGGTTGGGTAATTTGTATGGTATCTTTGTAATCTTTTCGTTCTTCAGTAGTGGATTGATAGTGGCGGTTCGCCCGTGGTTTTTGATTACAATTGAAGGTTCTTCAATTGTGGTTTTTTCCCCGTAAAAAATCGTTTGTGTCGATTTATTGTTTATTCTCAAAAACAAACAAACTAAAATCACTCTCGTAAGTGTTTGATGATTTTAGGTTGAGTGTTTTGAATTAATTGGGATTTGGAATAAGTTAATCTTGATCTAATCACAAATCACGTAGGATTTTCATTATTGATTAATTAATGTTAAAAATGACTTGAGTATTTTGCAACATTCAACAATGGGGTGTTAAAAGTCACATGATTTACTTTGCGAGGATAATGGCCTATTTTGGGAAGTGAGTTAAAAGTCACTTCTTAACTTTTAACCCACTTTTCTCTCTCATAAAAAAGTTAAAAAAAAAATGAAAAAAATAACTTTTAACCATCTTCCCAAAACACCCCAATGTTGAATGTTGCAAAATACGCAAGCCATTTTTAACATTAATTAATCAATAATATTATAAATTTACCTTTATCAATTTCGAATTTATTTTTAAAAAAATTTAATGGCTCAGATTCATTTCATATGTAGACTTTATAATTCGTGAATGAATAATGTTATTTGTACTAGTTAATATACTAACAAATATACTAACCGATGATGTGGCATAAATTTAGATATTTTGGATATTTATGATTTGTATAATAGGTGAGGTCAGTAATAATGACATAACATTAGTTGGTATGTTTATATTAATTGGTGCATGTAGTACTACCGTTCATCAATTCAATTTTTAATATCAAAATACATTCAGTGTAAATTCGAAATTTGTAAAGATGAATTTCTTACATGACCCCGCTACGTAGCTCGAATCCGTGGCTCGAATCTGTGGCTCGACACCAAAATGACGTCGTTTTGGTGTCTTCGTTTTTTTTTTTTTCTTTCTTTCTTTTTTCTGTGTTTTTGTTGCAGAAGGAAGACGAAGAAGAAGGGTGGAGAAGAAGAGAAGGAGAAGAGAATGGAGGAGGAGGAGGAGGAAGGAGGAGGACTGGAGGGGGCATATTTACAGGGGGAGGAGGAGGAGGAGGCGGAGGCGGGGCCGGAGGCGACGGCGATGGTGCTGTGACGATCACTGGTGCTGCGACGATTGCTGGTGCTGCGACGACCGGCGGTGGCGAGGCGACGGCGGTGGTGATCTCCTCTCCTCCTCTCTCTTTCTCCCTCTCTCCTCCTCTTTCTCTTCTCCTCTCTTCTCTCCTCTCTTCTCTCCCTCTCCCTCTTCCCTCTTCCTCTTTTCTCCTTTCTCTCTGTCTCTATCTTCGAATTCGAGCAATTTTTCGAGCCACAGATTCGAGCTACCAATCTTTTTCCTTTTCTTAATTAATTTTAAGAGGGAAGTGAAACCCAATCCAATACCAGCGGTGATTCTGCTATCAATTGAAAACCTATGCTTCCATTGACTTAGGCTTAAAGTAAAGAACACTACTTTATTGGTCCAATAATTCACTGAATATACATTAAACATGGTACTAATCAAAATATTTATTAATAACTAAATGGGCTAATGACCCATTGTGTTTTCATTGGGGGCGAATCGTCTCTCCAATCTATTCACCAATTGGATCATGTTATTTGAGATTGTGAAGTCTATAACAAGTTTTATTTTAAAAATATAGTTTTGTCTATTTTTATAAATTTTGATGTATAAATCGGTCATAAAAAAATTAAATCGATCTAATAATTGTAGTGTAATATTTCATTGCTTTATTATATACTTAAAACTATATATGTCATCTATTTTTAAAAAAATAAATAAATATGATTTAATTACAGATAAAATTTTTGAATTAGACTGAAGTCTTCTCCTTCATTAATATGAAAAAAAAATGCTAAAATAGGAAGAGGTATTTTTATACATTTCTAAATATGTTAGATGATATTTAATTCATTGAAATGAGAATGAAATGGGATGATGCTATCTAATAGGAATAGATATTTTTACACATTTCTAAATATGTTAGATGGTATTTAATTCATTGAAATGAGATTGGAATGATGTAGAATGAACGAACCATGCTATGTTCACTACAAGAAAAAGCACAAATGGCGACTAAAATTCAGAATTTCGTCGCTGAAAGTTGACCAAATGGCGACTAAACTGGATGTAGTCGCCAAAAATGAAGCCTTTTGCCGACTAAAATGAATTAGTCGCCGAATACCAGGGTTTTAGCGACTAAATTGTTTGTTGGTCGCCGAATGTAGCAGTTTTACTGACTAAAGGTTGTTTGGTAGCCAAAAGCGACGGTTTTTGGCGGCTAAAATAATTTAGTAGCCAAAAGTGATGGTTTTGGCGACTAAAAACCATTTTAGTCGCCGATTATAGGTCTTTTGCCGACTAAAAAAAGATTAGTCGCTGAAAATGAAGGTTTTGGCTACAAAAAAAAAATTAGTAGCTAAAAATAGTGAATTGGCAACTAAATTTCAATTTAGTAGCCAAAACGGGACGTTTTTGGCGACTAAAAACAGATTTAGCTGCCAAAAGTGCAATTTTTAATTTAAACATATTTTTTTAGCGACAACAAATTAATTAGTAGCCCAAAAATCATAGAATTGGCGACTAAATAATTGATTTAGTTGCCAAAAGTGGCCTACATTTTTTTTTAATAAATAATTTATTTTTTACATAAATTATATTCAATAAAAATAATTATATTTACATATTACATTAAACATGGTACTAATCAAAATATTTATTAATAACTAAATGGGCTAATGACCCATTGTGTTTTCATTGGGGGCGAATCGTCTCTCCAATCTATTCACCAATTGGATCATGTTATTTGAGATTGTGAAGTCTATAATAAGTTTTATTTTAAAAATATAGTTTTGTCTATTTTTATAAATTTTGATGTATAAATCGGTCATAAAAAAATTAAATCGATGTAATAATTGTAGTGTAATATTTCATTGCTTTATTATATACTTAAAACTATATATGCCATCTATTTTTTAAAAAATAAATAAATATGATTTAATTACAGATAAAAATTTTGAATTAGACTGAAGTCTTCTCCTTCATTAATATGAAAAAAAAATGCTAAAATAGGAAGAGGTATTTTTATACATTTCTAAATATGTTAGATGATATTTAATTCATTGAAATGAGAATGAAATGGGAACAAAAGGGGCGACTAAAAAAATTAGTCGCTGAAAGTAAAAACTCGACTTTCGGCAACTAAAAGCGGACTTTTGGCGACTAAAAATTTAGCCGCCAAAAATGATTTTTCTTGTAGTGGTTATATATTTTCAATCAATTTTACACATTTAAATTTTTCTTCTTTTCTGTTTATTGAGATTAATGACTACCACTTGGATTGTCATTATAGTTTTCCTAAATTAAAATGCCAATTATTTAACAGTTACCAAGTGAGATTCCCTTGCTGATATGATAATAAATTAGATTAAAGCCAACATTTTATTCACAATATTGATGCCTCCCAGTTGCCTGCCCTGCTTCTCCTTCTCTTTTAGTTTCATTTCTTTAAATATTTTTTTCCAAAAAATAAAATGATAATAATAATCCATATTATCATTATTTTCAAATAGAAAATGTTAATGACCATTCAATGGCATTCATTATTAGTTTTGCTTTATGTGTAAAAAAAACAAAAGTATATAAAAAAACTACAATTAAATTTTAATAATTTTGATATTTTGTTTTACCTCAACAACAATTCGATAAAATTATTTTTAGCATGATTCTTTTTTAAGTAGGGTTAATTAAACTAAGGGGCCATTTGGGAACATCATAAAAAGTCAAAAGTTAGTTTTTAATCCATTTTGGATCACACAATCTCTCACATAAAAAAGCTAAAAAAGGTAAAAAAAAAAGCCAAAAAATAAACTTTGTAACATCTTCTCAAAACACCCCCAAGACAATCTCACTTTATCTTTATGAATTGAAATATTTTAACATTTTCAATTATAAAAATGTATCACTTTTATTTTTTATACATAACTTTCGAAACGGATGTATTTGTACAATTTTTTAATTGGAAAAATCAATATATTTAGATTCATAGATGAAAATAAGAAAGTAATATTTATTAATAATTAATAATTAAAGAGACCTTAGCGAATTAACCATTTTAAATATATTCCACCCATAGGCCACCTGAAAAGCTGTACTATGAAGCAAGGGTGGCCCATGAAGTTCCAATAATTCTCCAGTTATGATCTTGTTACTTTGATTGTGGTAATTCTTCCTCGGAAGATTGTGTTGGCTGGCTATAAAAAAGGGGAGAGTAAAATATAAATGAAACAAGGTTGTTATGTATCACAAAATAAATTTCACAATTTATTTTAAGTAAGAAGGGAAACCTTTCCACCCTAATTGCCTCATTCACCCAGTTTAGGATTTTGTTAGTACGAATAATTTGAAAATCATAAAAGAAAAAAAAAAGAGGTAGTGAGACTACCTAATCATAAACTATTAAGCAATGAACCATATGCTAACAAAATCCCACACTTCCTATCCAATTATTACTAATATTAGTAACCACTGTCTCAACAATGCCATTCATGCCCTCTTTTTTAAGTCTAGCAGAAATTGATCACACCAGTAGCTCAAAACAACCAAATCAGCGAAACGACCAGCAATTATCAAAAACGAATAACCATTGGGAGTTTTCTGAATTAGCTAACCTTCCGATGCAAGAACATTCTTCAAGACAATCATCTCCCCATCAACCAAGCAAGATCAACTAATTCTCCTAACCCTCACTATGAATCTTTAACATCTTCAAAAAAAGAATTCGGTATCTCCTGAGGTGAGGCCAATGTTGAGATGCATTTGAACTGTTCCAAGAAAGTCATTAAATTTCAATCAGATAGTCATTTTTAAGGATGACCATTCACTACAATGCCGATAACAAGTTCAAAAACATGTATATACCTCATGCTGCTTGTATTTGTTTCTTGATGCAACCAAAGGGCCTCTCCTTTTACTTAATTGCAAATCATGTATGATAGGAACACATTCCTTTAGGTCAGCGGGTTTGTAGCTAGAGAAATCTTGCAGGGCCGAACTCTGTAAAAGGACATAAGATTAATTTACAACTTGCTAATCAAGAGCTTAATCATGAGCCTGAGACTTGAAGTATTCAAAAGTAGGCTCTTACCCAAGGATGTAACTTTGGTTGGATTGTAAACCGTGAAAGAAATACTACAGATGCAGCCACCAAAGCAAGCAAGAGTATCACACAGTCATTCTCCAACAAGCTTAACTCTGCTAGGTAATAACCCAAGAACTCCAACTTCAAATTGGGAATCTGCATAAGAACAAGAACATTAGTAAGTACCCAACAAGTCAATAACAAAAATCAGCAAGCAAAATAGGCAACACGTGCACACACACACACGGAATCTGCATAAGAACAAGAACATTAATAAGTACTTGGTAATCTTCTAGAGCAACAACAGTGACTTTTTTGCAAAAAAAAATTAAAAAAAATTAAAAAATTAAAAAATCAACAAGCAAGAAAGCAACTTTAATTAGGCAATTGAATCGCAAGATCACCGATGAAAAGAAAGATTGTATGTTGACAATGCAATAATACCCTAAAAATGTCATAATTGTGGGACCGCCCACTTCAAACTTGAGATGTTTGAGTATGTCAGCCTCCATTTTTACCACCTCTTTCTTTGTGTATGCGTTGTCGGTTACGTAACAAAATTCATCCACAGGTGGATGATTGATCTTCTCATACTTTCTGCTCATCAAGATTGAACATGGAAATTTAAGTACCAATCATCCAAATTGATTATCTTTACAAAAACATCAAGCAGTTTAAGAGGTCAGAGAGCTTACAATGCGATGAGCATTGAAGAAACACCGAGCAACTGGAGTTTCTTCCTGTTGAGATCATTCATTGACAAAAATCTATCAATGTAAGAGATAGATAGATGCAGAGTATCAGAGTGAAGCTTGTATTCCTCCGCAACCTTCACCAACCAATCCACCAAAATTGCCCTCATGTTAGGGCTCACATCCTTCTTTGCCATCTCAACGTAATCTGGCAATGGTCTCCTCTTCACCTCCTCCTAAATAAGCAATCAAAACCCTTTAATTTATACATGAAATGAGTTGTCAAAACCCATAATTAAATGAGCAATCAAATTTAACATATCGTTGGCATTGACACTACTAAACCAAATCAAAACGCACCCATTTATTATTTAATAATTCTTATATAACTCATGGCAATAAATTTAATTTTAGTATTTAAGATTATAAATTTTAAGGTTTGTAACGTGTGTTTTTATTTCCATGAATAGTGTGTGATTTAATTGGATGAATTAAATTTTGAATTAAATTTATTTTTTGGAGTTATAAAATTTGTGTAACTTGCCTATATTTATTTACATGGTTATTGTGAATTAAAATCTTATATAATTTATGGCAATTAATTTTTAATTTAATAGTTATAATTGTAAGTTTTGTAATTTATTTAGGAGTTATAAGGCTTTATAACTTGTATAGTATCTTAATTCGTTATTTATGATTTGCTAGAAGGTTAAATAATAGTTATGGCAATTAAATTAATTTTTAATTTAATAGTTATAATTGTAAGTTTTGTAATTTATTTAGGAGTTATAAGGCTTTATAACTTGTATAGTATCTTAATTCATTATTTATGATTTGCTAGAAGGTTAAATAATATTTGATTGTATGTACAATTTTTTTAGATTAGTTGCGTTGTATTATGTCGTCGTTTGCTATTACTTTGTAGGCATACCTAAGCGTGAGAAGGAATTTTATGGACTACTTATAATCCTCAATTGGATTGGTTTATTTTTCCTTTATATTTGAAGAATTTTTCTTGAGATTTATTTGGTTTGTTTACCAAGTTTGTAAAAGCAAGTTTTATTTGCTCATATTGTTATCAATTGTTTTACATTGCTTGTAAAAGTTTTGGACCTTGGTTTGTTTTAACCTAGTTCATCCCTTGGAAATTTAATTTTAAAAATTGTTTCTCACGGACTATGAGTCAACATGCTCTTGAAAGTTTTGTCAAAAGGTTAACTGGGTTTTAAGTGGGACCGTTGTGACCCCTCCAGTCTTCCTGGGAACATTCTTGACCATGTTCGATTCTAGGTTTAGTGGTGAGACTAATTTTGAATTAACTTTTCAATTATGGGATTTTCTAGTGTTAAGTTTAATTTCTAAAAAAACACAGAACGTGATATTCTGGTGTAATTTTTCGAAATGGCAACTGTCACTGATGCTGCTGCTACTGCTACTGCTAACGTTGGTGGGGATTTGAACCGTGGGGGCAACTGGTTGCCAATCCCTATTGCTGTGACCTCTGTGGTCAACCTTGGTGTTACTCCTGCTGTTCCGGGAGGACCGCTCAGTCATCATGAGCGCCCAGAGAAATTTGCTGGGGTGAACTTCAAGAGATGGTAGCAAAAGATGTTGTTCTACTTGACCACGTTAAACCTTGCAAAGGTTTTAAGCGAGGATCCTCCAGCTGTGGCAGAGAATGAGTCAAACAGGCAGAAAGTCATGGCGCTTGACACATGGAAGCAGACAGACTATCTCTGCCAGAACTATGTGTTCAACAGCTTGGCAGACTCATTATACAGTGTGTTTTGTGCCAAGGGCTCAGCAAAGGAGTTATGGGAATCTCTAGACAAGAAATACAGGACTGAGGACGCCGGGGCAAAGAAATTTGTAGTTTGCCGGTTCTTGGACTTTAAGATGATCGATTCAAAACCTGTGATAAGCCAAGTCCAGGAGTTCCAAGTGATCTTGCATGAAATTCATGCTGAGGGGATGCCTTTGAATGAGTCATTCCAAGTTGCTGTGATCATTGAGAAACTTCCCAATGGTTAGAAGGACTTCAAAAACTACTTGAAGCACAAGCGCAAGGAAATGTCAGTTGAAGAGCTGGTTGTTCGACTCCGAATTGAGGAGGATAATAGAAAGAAATGAGGGAATACCTCCTTAGTGAAGGCCAATGTCATTGAGCATGGAAAATCTTCTGGGGTGAGGAATAAGTCTCATGTGAATAAAGGCTCAAAGTTGGGGCCAAAGGGTGGTGTCGCAAAGAAGCCGCCACACAAGCCACAAGAACCAGGTTATCGGTTCTTGGGGCAGTGCTATAACTGTGGTAGCAAGGGGCATCGGGCTAGTGACTGCCGCAAGTAGAAGAATCCATACAGGACCAAACCTCGTGCTCATATGGCAGATATACAAAAGCACTCCCATGAGGAGGATTATATGCACTTGTCTATAGCGATCCCGGGTTTACCCTTGTTATACAGTGATCCGGACATGTGTCCGTGGATGATAGTAGTTGATTATTACCTGGTGTACATCCTTTCTTACTTTGTATTTGAGTTATGGGATGTGTTGGGCAGGTTTGGTACAGGTTGGCTGAGTTTAGAAACCAAAACTAGTTGCCCAGATTTTGACCTGTCCGCTCAAGCGGGGGTTTTGGCGCTCAAGCGGGAATTGCACCCATCCAGTATTCCCTGTGCAGTGTTGGACGCTCGAGCGGGGTTGTGTGAGTGCCGCTCGAGCGGGGAGTTGGAAGCTCGAGCGGAGACCTGGTTCTGTAAAAGTTCTGGGAGTGTGCATCCGCCGCTCGAGCGGGATGGTTGACGCTCGAGCGGGAGTCTGTGAGTGACGCTCGAGCGGGGTGTTTGAGGCTCTAGCGGGGCGACTGGGTTTAAGTTCCGTGTTTTGACTTTTCAAATCACTCTTTCACTTTCTCTTCTCTCTCCTACTTTTCCAAAAACACCATTGTTGAGCCTCTCACTCTAGAACTCTACCTTTTCTCTCTAGGTTTTGATCTAGTAGGAGTGATTTGCTCATCTTTGGCCTTTACAAAAAAGTTGTTGATCGTCGAGGGCTACATTTTAATCAGAAAATTTCGGGATTTGGAGCACGTTGGGTTTTGTCATCTTCTCTCTTGGGGCTTCGGATTTGAAGTAGGGATATCCTACTCCTCTCTATGGATTTTGTCTTTAAATTTTAGTATTTTGAGATGTTGGGGTTGGTTTGGTAATTTTGTGAAAGTTTGGGGCTTTTGTGTAATTTTACAAAAGTTGGGGTTTTATTCGTAATAAACCTAAATGCATGTTTGGCATAGAGAAATGGAATAAATGTTGAATCATTGATGAAAATGGGACCTAAGGGTTGAAATGTTAATTATGGAAAATGACCTAATTACATTGAGTCGCCAATTGTAAAAAAACTGAAACTTTTGGCTATTAAACTTTTAGTTGCCAATTGTAAAAAAGAAATTTTTGGCTACTAAATTTTTAGTCGCCAATTCTCAAAAAGTAAAACTTTTGGCTACCAAATAGTTAGTCGCCAAACACACATGCTCAATTGGCTACTAAATTATTTAGTCGCTAAAAGTAAAAATATACATATATTTAATTATTTTTAAAAAATATATGGCGACTAAATTTTTAGTCACCAATAGGTCACTTTTGGCTACCAAAAAAATTTTAGTCGCCGATTGTCTTTCCCGACGAACTATTGGCAACCAAAATAAGGCTTTTGGAAACAAAAATTTTAGTTGCCAAAAGTGAAATTTCTTGTAATGTGGAGGGGATGAACTCCGTAGATACAGCTCATATGCTTGTCTAGAGAAGTGAAGATAGAGCTCATATGCTTATCTTTGTGAAGTGTAGATACAGCTTATATGCTTATCTGTGAATGTGGGATATAGTTGTTATACATATCTGTCGAGATTGTGGATATAGCTTATATGCTTATCTGTGAATGAGGGATATAGTTTTTATACATTTCTGTTGAGATGATGATAGAGCTAATATGCTTATCTGTTGAAAAAGGGAAAATGAAAAGTAACTTGGACTCATAAGTCGTATGGCATAAAATGTGATTTATGTGGATGTATCTGTGTTGGCCATCTATCAATTGCTAATCTTTTAGTCATTGTTCATGGTTGGTTTAGTGTGTTTCTACTGGGCTGTGGCTCACCCTATATGGGAATATCATTTTCAGGTACAGGTAGCATGCCACCTCCAAGGTCATAGCTTGGGAGGCTAGAAGCGGGCAGATTTTTGTTATTTAAGTTCCTCTTGACGTATTACATGTAAATTCAAGCCAAGGGCTTAATGTGTAAACGAGTTAGTATTCTTTTGTTGTAACCAAGTGTTAACTTGGAAAGCTGTAAGCCTTTAGGGCATTTGCTTTTGTCGTTAACATGTAATACTTTTTGTAATGAAACTCTGATAAATGAAAAAATGTGGAACTTTTACATATCAATGCATGTCTTTATTGATGGGTTTAATGTTGTTATTCTGAGGGCGTTACATGTCTGTCGTTGTCTCTGAGGTAAATCTGGTGGGTTCAAACTCAAGAGAATGGTGGATTGATACTGGGGCTACACGCCACATCTGCTCCAAAAAGAAGCTGTTTACAACTTTCGAGCCGTTTACAACTTTCGAGCCGGTTACAAACGGTGAAAAGTTGTTTATGGGAAACTCTGCTACCTCGATTGTTGAGGGGAAAGGAAAGGTGGTCCTGAAGTTGACGTCAGGAAAGGAGCTGACCTTGAACGAAGTCCTGTATGTTCCGGACATTCGTAAGAATCTTGTCTCAAGGTCTCTTTTCAGCAAACATGGTTTTCGCATTGTTTTTGAGTTCGACAAGGTCGTTTTGACCAAGATCGGAGTATATGTGGGTAAGGGTTATATGTTGGGGGGTATGTTTAAACTCAATGTAATAACTGTTATCCCAAAGATGAATAAAGATGCATGTTCTTCTGCTTACATGCTTGAGTTTTCCAATTTGTGGCATGGTAGACTAGGACATGTGAACTTTGAATCTTTACGTAGATTAATCAAATTAGATCACATACCATCTTTTAAGATTAATCCAAAACACAAGTGTGAGACTTGTGTTGAAGCGAAGTTGACAAGATCTTCATTTCATTCTATTAAAAGAAGTTCAGAGCCATTGGACTTAGTGCATAGTGATGTGTGTGACTTAAAGTTTATACAATCACGTGGTGGCAATAAATACTTCATCACTTTTGTTGATGATTGCATTAAGTATTGTTATGTCTATTTGCTCAAAAGCAAAGATGAGGCAATTGGCGAGTTTATTCTTTATAAGAATGAAGTTGAGAATCAAGTAGGCTGCAAGATTAAGGCTTTAAGAAGTGATCGTGGTGGTGAGTATGAATCACCATTTATTGAGATTTGTGCTCAATCCGGGATTATCCACCAAACCACGGCGCCTTATTCTCCTCAGTCAAATGGGGTTGCCGAGCGGAAGAATAGGACGTTAAAGGAGATGACAAATGCAATGTTAATCAGTTCTGGATTGCCACAGAACATGTGGGGGGAAGCAATTCTCTCCGCGAATTATATTTTGAATAAAGTACCCCAAAAGAAGGTGGACAAAACCCCGTATGAGTTATGAAAAGGTGTTAAGCCTTCTTATAAATTCTTACGAATGTGGGGGTGTCTTGTAAAAGTGGCGGTGCCTACACCCAAGCGGGTTCGGATAGGACTGAAATCAGTGGATTGTATATTCATTGGATATGCACATAATAGCGGTGCATATTGATTTCTGGTGTTTAAATCTGCTATTCCAGATACACACAAGAATACTATCATGGAATCAAGAAATGCATCTTTCTTTGAAAATGTATTTTCGTGTCGTCTCCAAAAAGGGATTCAGAGTTCCATGAAAGAGGTTGAAGGTGACAATGATCACATAGCTAATCAAACAAATGATCACTTGCTTGATCAAGCTGAAGATGTAGATGAGCTAAGAAGGAGTAAGAGGGCTAGGACTGCAAAGTCCTTTGGTCCGGATTTTTTTACTTATATGTTAGAGGGAGAACCTCGAACTTTCCATGAAGCTGTGACTTCACCTGAAAGTCTTTTGTGGAAAGAAGCCATTAAGAGTGAGATTGACTCCATCTTGAAGAATCATACTTGGGAGTTGGTTGATCTACCCCCAGGCAGTAAGGCCTTGGGGAGTAAGTGGATCTTTAAAAGAAAAATGAAAGCTGATGGGTCAATTGATAAGTATAAAGCTAGACTCGTTATCAAAGGATACAGTCAGAGAGAAGACCTGGATTACTTTGATACGTATTCACTAGTGACAAAGATTACATCCATTCGCATGGTGATTGCGATAGCAGCGCTACGTGGTCTGGAGATACATCAGATGAATGTAAAGACAGCTTTCTTAAATGGAGATTTGAATGAAGAAATCTACATGGAGCAACCCGAGGGATTTTCAACTCCAGGACAAGGTAAGAAAGTGTGTAAGCTTGTCAAATCATTGTATGGTTTGAAGCAAGCTCCTAAGCAATGGCATGATAAGTTTGATGACACTATGTTGTCAAATGGATTTAGAATCAATGAGTGTGACAAATGCGTATATGTTAAAGACACTGATAGGGGTTATGTCATTTTGTGTCTATACGTTGATGACTTACTCATTGTTAGTAGTAATGATGAGATGATTAAAACTACCAAGAGATTGTTAAACTCTAAGTTTGACATGAAAGATATGGGCCTTGCCGTTGTTATTCTAGGTATTAAGATTACCAGAACATCTAGTAGAATTGTACTTTCTCAGTCTCACTGTGTTGAGAAGATACTTGAGGAATTTAGTAAATCAGATACAAGTGTGTCTAGGACACCAGTAGACGTCAGTCTGCATTTGACCAAGAATAATGATGAGAGTGTCTCTCAGTTAGAATATTCTAGGGTCATTGGCAGTTTGATGTATCTGATGAGCTGTACACGACCGGATATAGCCTACTCTGTTAGCAGGCTTAGTAGATACACGAGTAATCCGAATGCTACTCATTGGAGGGGCATTATGCAGGTGTTAGGTTATCTACGCTACACCCGGGATTATGGGCTGCATTATTGCCGATACCCAGCAGTACTAGAATGGTATAGTGACGCTAATTGGATATCTGATATAAAAGACTCCAAATCCACAAGTGGTTATGTGTTTACCCTCGGAGGGGCAGCCGTGTCTTGGAAATCTTCCAAGCAAGCGTGTATATCGAGATCAATGATGGAATCTGAGCTTATTGCTTTAGATAAAGCAACTGAAGAAGCTGAATGGCTTCGTCAGTTCATTGAGGATATTCCACATTGGTCCAGACCTATGCCAGTTATTTATATTCATTGTGACAGCCAATCAGCGATTAGATGGTACAGAGCAATATGTATAATGGAAAGTCTAGACATATTCGTCGTAGGCATAATTCCATACGACAACTACTCTCGAACGGAGTTATCACTTTAGACTATGTAAAGTCTCAGGACAACATTGGGGATCCGCTAACCAAAGGGTTAAATCGAGTGTTAGTCGAAACGTCATCAAAAGGAATAGGGTTGAGGCCTTTGGAAGTTACCAGAATGGAAACCCAACCTAGTTGACTGGAGATCCCAAGATCTAGGTTCAATGGGACAACCTAATTGCGTGTAACGGTGGTATGTCACTGAGGAGGTTAAACCTCCAACCATTCCTTCTATCAGTGATACCTGCAAGTGTAGAGGTTAAGTTGAGCATTTAATAACTCTAGTGTGTTAAGCTGTTGAGCTGAGTATAGCAGGATACTTAAGTAGAGTCACCTATGTGAGTGTGAAGTGGGGCCGCTTCTAGAAGAATTGAGCAGGCCAAGATTCTTTGAAACCACTCGCTGAACCAGGCTAGTGCCCAGGGCCATACAGGGCACACCAGTGAGAACAGAATAGTGGTAGGAGTAATTTCCGTGTGAGATCTATTGTCCCAGTTTACATAAACGGCAGAGCAGTTCAAGATGTCATATTCACTTATCAGCCAGTAAACTCGATAGGTTTTCACTGAGAGAGGTTCAAAGCCAAAAGATACCTTCTCTAATGTTAGGGTTAGTCCGTTATACTCTCTCTCCGAGTCATTATTGTTGAACGATGTCCGTTTGTTGAGTCATTCTGTCAATTTTTATTCATGTAGGGGATTGTTGGAAAAAGTGGATTTTTGGTGATTTTAATTAAATATTAAAATGGGTCCCAACCATTTATTGTGTTGGGTCCAAGTGGGTCTAAATACTTTGCAATGAGATCTTTACACCACAAATAGAATGGCCAAAAACCATTGAGATTTGAATGAAAAATTGCCTCATGAAGTTAGCTTCATGAAAGAGGTAATGGGGTTTGTAACTTCTGCCTTTATTACAGAGTTTAATAGAGCATTAATGGGGTTTGTAACTCCTGTATTAATGGGGTTTGTAGCTCCTGCCTTTATTGCAGAGGTCAATGGTGCATTAGTGACCAGCCATATAGGCTGGAGGCTTCTCCTCTCTCCCCTATACATGTATAAATTGAGACCCTCCTGTCAAGTCTCAAACACAGAAATTGTTTTCTTTCATTCTTTAGCCAGTTTGCTAGAAATTTCTACAGTGAGAGAGTGCTGGCACAGTTTTTGTTCGTTAAGCTAGACAGAACGTGCTTTTGCCGTAGCTGGGTTTTGATCATCGTATCCTGGGAGACAGACACCGGAATTCCTCAAGCACTCAATCCGTGAGGCGGCAAAAATCTGTTTTAAGGAAACTACTTCCGTGCAGGCTTCGGTTTGATTTCTCTACCATTTCGTTGTATCATGTATTTCTGTTTAATCTAGTCGTAATGTCCAACATATGTTCTTGTTTTAATTTATGTTATCATGAATCTATGTATTTAAATTCACAAAATAGACAACAATTCTTCCTCAGAAGATAGTGTTGGCTGGCTATAAAAAAAGGAAGAGTAAAATATAAATGAAACAAGGTTATTATGTATCACAAAATAAATTTCATAATTTATTTTAAGTAAGAAGGGAAATCTTTCCACCGTAATTGCCTCATTCACCCAGTTTAGGATTTTGTTAGTACGAATAATTTGAAAATCATAAAAGAAAAAAAAAAAAAAGAGGTAGTGAGACTACCTAATCATAAACTATTAAGCAATGAACCATATGCTAACAAAATCCCACACTTCCTATCCAACTATTACTAATATTAGTAACCACTGTCTCAACAATGCCATTCATGCCCTCTTTTTTAAGTCCAGCAAAAATTGATCACACCAACAGCTCAAAACAACCAAATCAACGAAACGACCAGCAATTATCAAACACGATTAACCATTGGGAGTTTTCTGAATTAGCTAACCTTCCGATGCAAGAACATTCTTCAAGACAATCATCTCCCCATCAATCAAGCAAGATCAACTAATTCTCCTAACCCTCACTATGAATCTTTAACATCTTCAAAAAAAGAATTTGGTATCTCCTGAGGAGAGGACAATGTTGAGATGCATTTGAACTGTTCCAAGGAAGTCATTAAATTTCAATCAGATAGCCATTTTTAAAGATGACCATTCACTACAATGCCAATAACAAGTTCAAAAACATGTATATACCTCATGCTGGTTGTATTTATTTCTTGTTGCAACCAAAGAGCCTCCCCTTTTACTTAATTGCAAATCATGTATGATAAGAACACATTCCTTTAGGTCAGCGGGTTTGTAGCTAGAAAAATCTTGCAGGGCCGAACTCTGAGACTTGAAGTATTCAAAAGTAGGCTCTTACCCAAGGATGTAACTTTAGTTGGATTGTAAACCGTGAAAGAAATACTATAGATGTAGCCACCAAAGCAGGCAAGAGTATCACACAGTCATTCTCCAACAAGCTTAACTCTGCTAGGTAATAACCCAAGAACTCCAACTTCAAATTGGGAATCTGCATAAGAACAAGAACATTAATAAGTACCCAACAAGTCAATAACAAAAATCAACAAGCAAAATAGGCAACACGTGCACACACGCATACACACAATAGAGAGAGTTGAGCTTACTTGGTAATCTTCTAGAGCAACAACAGTGACTTTTCTGCACAAAAAAAAAAATTTAAAATTAAAAAATTAAAAAATCAACAAGCAAGAAAGCAACATTAATTAGGCAATTGAATCAGAAGATCACCGATGAGAAGAAAATTGTATGTTGACAATGCAGTAATACCCTAAAAATGTCATAATTGTAGGACTGCCCACTTGAAACTTGATATGTTCGAGTATGTCAGCCTCCATTTTTGCCACCTCTTTCTTTGTGTATGCGTTGTCGGTTAGGTAACAAAATTCATCCACGGGTGGATGGTTGATCTTCTCATACTTTCTGCTCATCAAGATTGAACAAGGAAATTTAAGAACCAATCATCCAAATTGATTATGTTTACAAAAACATCAAGTAGTTTAAGAGGTCAGAGAGCTTATGATGCGATGAGTATTGAAGAAACACCAAGCAACTGGAGTTTCAACCTATTGAGATCATTCGTTGACAGAAATCTATCACTCTAAGAGATAGATAGATGCAGAGTATCAGAGTGAAGCTCGTATTCCTCTGCAACCTCCACCAACCAATCCACCAAAATTGCCCTCACGTTTGGGCTCACATCCTTCTGGGCCATCTCAATGTAATCTGGCAATGGTCTCCTCTTCGCCTCCTCCTAAATAAGTAATCAAAACCCTTTAATTTATACATGAAATGAGTTGTCAAAACCCATAATTAAATGAGCAATCAAATTTAACATATTGTTGGCATTGACACTACTAAACCAAAACAATACGCACCCGTTTACAATAAAAGCAAAACGAGATTTCCGATTTCGAATCAATGTCCTGATAATACTTGTATATCTCAGATACATTTGCACCGCAGATTTGGGGATCTTCCATTTCGAATCTATGTCCGGATATATCTCAAATACATTAGCAGCACAGATTTGGGGATCTTCCATTTCGAATCCATGTCTTGATACTTGTGTATCTCGGATACATTAGTAATTGCATTAAACGTTGGATCACCTGGGCAGATTGTGATGTGGTTAATCGAAAATATAATTTGGAATTTTGATTTGAATTAAAATCAAATATTTTTATGAATGATTTTATTAATTAGAGATTGATTTCATCAAATTTAATTTGTAAGAAAATTTTAAAATTTTATTATAGACTCGCTATTTTTTACTAGGATGGGAATTATTTTAAATTTAAATTTGAGCTTAAAATTTTTTTATGAACCTGCGAGTTGATAAAGCGTCAAAAAATCATTACAAATCCAATTGATATTTCCAAAGAGAGGCTTTTTTTTTTTTTATGTATATTTTTTTCGAGAGACGATGTGAGGTGAGTTCTTAATTATTTTAAAACAATTTTGATTGTGGCAAAATTTGGATGTCCATTATGCGAAGTTTGGATTGTATTGTATAATGAGTCAATCATTTTAAAATGGGCAACGTGTGTATATCACCATTAATTAATTTGGATTGTATTGTATAATGAGTCAATATATATCACCATTAATTAATTGAGTCAATATCACCATTAAATAAAAAAAAAATGGTGATATCACCATTAAATGGGAATTGTATTGTATTGTATTGTATAATGTGTCAATATCACCATTAAATAAAAAAAAATTAAAAAAAAATTACTTAACTTTTCTTTTGTTTTTTTTTGTCAAGTTAATATATTTGTTAATATACCAAACATTATTAATCACGAAACACGATTTTATGTTAAATTAACAGAAGGATTGATATTATATGTTTACCCATTCTAGTAAAGCAAGAATTATGCGAGTCATATGTGGAGTTTTGGAAAAATAAAACAAAATAAAGCATTACATAGCTACATTTTTATGTTTTACATTCCTTTTTTCTTTTCTTTTTTTGGTTCAACGAAAAGATGTTTCACGTTCCTTTAAAATATAAGGTTGGTATATATCCTAAGCTACTTGAAAGGTCCCAAATAAAGTTGAATAAACTTTTGTCTCCAACTCATCAATGTTTGTATTGTTTTGTCTCATCTTTTTGTAATGGTGCGGCGGATTTCATGATGACTAGGGTTTCCTTTTGCCACAATTACAATTACCCACCGTTTAAAGCAAGATAGAGGGCCCTCATGCATTTGTAATGTTATATATTTAAAATAGTATATTTATGAATTAAAATTATTTTAAGTATAATTTATATTACACTAATTTTGAATTTATAATATTTATTTTATTTTGAAATAAATTTTATGAATCTAATAATAATATAATATAATATAGGATAAATTACAAATACACCTCCTGAGGTTTGTTCAAAATACGAATTGCCCTCTGTAGTTTGAAAAATTACAAATACCTCCTGTCAGAATTTTTTATTTAACAGAATTAATTGACAAAGTAAAATTTCTAACTGTTCACTTATACAATAATAAAATTATCTGAATTATTAATTAAAATAAAATTTTAACATTATTAAAAATTATTAATTAACTTGATGATTTATTAATAAAAGAACATATTTGTTATGAAATTAGAAACCATAGGAGGCATAATGTAATTTTTACAATGACAAGGGATAATTTTTAATTTAAGTAAATCTCAGAAAGTATGTTTGTAATTTACCCTATAATTTACTAGTGTGAGATTGTAATCAAAACTATACCCAGGAATATGTCTAGTGGTGATATATGTATCTAATAAATTTGTAATGTTATATATTTAAAAAGGGTATGTACACAAGTCTTACTTTATGAATTTATATTTCATTAGATTAATGCTTGAGGCCTCGAATTCGAGGCCTCGAAATTCAATTTTTTTTTTTTTTTGCTGTGTGTTTGTTTTTTTTTTAAATTTTTTTTTCTATCTTTTATTTTCCTTTCTTTTTTGCAAAGGTGGTTATATATATTAGACATTTCGCACTAACTCAGCCTGTATGATTTGATAAAGTCCAACCTAATTCACTTACCTTATCAAACTATACAGGCTGAGTTTTTTTTTTTTTCTTCTATTTGTTGGGCTATGTTGGTTTGGTTTTTTTTTTTTTTAAAAAAAAAGTGATTATGTGTAGGGGTGTGCAAAAAAATTAGACAATCTCGCACAAACTCATCGTACAAAATTATATAGAATTAACAAATTTTAACCAGCAACTTAATTGACTGATCAGTTAGGTTGTTGTTTAAATTTTGTTAATTTCATATTTTCAAGATTGCCACTTCGCTGATTATTACGGGGGTCGAGCTGCCCGGTCAGCTCGCGGCCCGAAGCAAAATGCAAAAATGCATTCAAAGTTGCCTGTCCGATCATGTTATATTTTTCCAGTTTTTCCAGTTTTGGCTTTCCCACTCGAGCGGGGAAAAGGGCGCTCGAGCGGGGTTTACAAGCTCATAGTATCTCTGCTATGCCTGAAAAAGTACTGGATGGTGTGATTCGACGCTCAAGCGTCAAAACCGACGCTCGAGCGTGGAGCCTGTATGAAATCACAGAATTTGAAGTCTCCGCTCGAGCGGGAAGACCCACGCTCGAGCGGACCGTGCGATCCCAGATTTCCAGATTTGTTAAGGAGTTGGTTTTCTTCTGAAACTAGGATTGCTTTGGTTTTCTATAAATAGTTGGTTTTCTCCCAACACTAAAAAAACTTCTCCAGATCTTATTTTTGGATCTTAAGGTTTATATCTGGAGATATTTTGCTAGTTTCTTTGATGTTTGTATTGAGTATTCAACTCATGTTCTAAAGAGTATACATCAAAGGTTTTGTTTGTTTTACAAGTTCTACAAAAGAGAGAGTTGTTCTTCGGTGGATTCTGAAGAATTCGAGCCTGAAGCTTTGGTGGATTCCGGAGTGGCTCATCGTAAAGACAATTCCGAGGTGAAGACGGGTTGGAAGAGGCACATAGAGGTTAGTTCAATTAGGCATGGATTCGCTAGGTAATTGAGAGTATACCTGTGTAATTCCTTTAAATCTTCTTAGTGGATTGTTTTGTGGCTGTTGCCCGTGGTTTTTTTATCACAGTTGGAGGTGTCCAATTGTGGTTGTTGTGTCTCTCTTGTCTTGATTGTTTGGATTGGGATTGTTATATTCTGCTTTTAAATTGATACATAATCACAAATCAACATCTAGGAGATTTCTAAGTTTTTTCAAGGTGTTTTTATGTGTAGAGATGTGCCAAAAAACTAAACATTCCGTGCTAACTCATCGTACAAATTAACAAAATTTAACCAGCAGCGTAATGATCAGTCAATTAAATTGGACTGGTTGAGTGATAAAATTGACTGATTAGTTAGGTTGTTGGTTAAATTTTATTAATTTCATATAATTTTATACGATGAGTTGGTGGTGAAATGTTTAATTTTTGACACATTCCTCCACATAAACCACCCTTAAAAAAAAACCAAATAAAAAAAAAAAAAAACTACCTGTAACAACCCTCATACTGTTTACCGATTAATGACTGATTGATTACCGATAACCATCGATTACCGTTAAACTGAATTGATTATGACTGATGATTGAACTGATTAAAAGTACTGAATTGTCTGACCAAAATTGAAACTGAATTGAATGAATATCTGTTTGAATTGCATTCTATTGTTCGATTAATTATTTGATCTGTTCGTATTTTAGTGTTTAAACTGCTAATTGAAGGCCTTATCGGCGGCCGAACTGGGAATGGATTAATGTTTTATGATCTCATAATTAATGTGATTTTATGGTATTTTAATCTGAAAACTGATTAGGTATGCTTGAATTAGATTAAATAAGCTAATAAAGAGTTAGGCTTAATTACAGAATTGCCACCTTAGTGGCCCACTCAATATAACATATTTGAGCCTTACACTTGACCACATAACACATTTTTCTCAGCCTTTTCTTGCTCTAGCCGACCAAGAGAGGAAGAGAGTAAGAGAACTTGTCTTCCATCTTGAGTTTTGCTTGCTAATTGAAGAACTTGAAGGGTAGATGCTACTTTAGACTCCTAAACCTTGAATACAAGACTAAGGTAGGAAACTCATCTTCTTCTTGTGGTTATTGAGCTAGTTCTTGCATGATTCATACTTCATTGTAGAACTAAGTCATGATTTGGTTCAAGAATGTGGAATTATAGCTTCATTTCATGCATGCATGTTTGAATTAAAGAGTTTTGAGTTGAATTCATGGTAAAATGGTGCATGCATGTTCATAATTTTGTAATGGTCCATGTTTTCAACTTGTTTTTGGATCAATTGGTCCCTTAGAGCATCAAATTGGAACTTCAAAATGATTTGAATACATGCATGTTTGCATGTTCATATTGTTCATGAAATTGGGTTTGAATTAACCACCCTTGGGCCTTGATTTCTCAAAATTGAGCTTTGAATCATATTATTCCATGTGTTTATAAAGTTTTCCAGAAAATGAGCCCAAGGGATCGGTTTTGAGTTGTTAACAACTTGGTTTTGAGCTGGAGGTGCAATCTGGAATTTCCAGATTCTGCACTTCCGCTCGAGCGGGGGATGCCGCTCGAGCGTGGAATCCGAGCATCCAGCATCTTTCTGCACTGTTTTACAGTCCGCTCGAGCGGAGAACTGGGCGCTCGAGCGAGTCATGTCTCAAGCTGAGCGGGCGTCGAGCGGAGATTTCACCCATCCAGTACTTTTACAGTACGCTCGAGCGGGAAAGTTTACGCTCGAGCGTGTACCTTTGTTGCATGACCGCTCGACGCGGGAAACTTGCGCTCGAGCGGGACTCTGTTTTTCTGAAAATGCTTTTAAAGTTGCATCTTTGCATCCTCATCCCATTCTAGGCATTCTTAGGCCTAGTTTAAGACATCTTGTTGAGGATATAGATGTAGAACACACCGAGGCATTAGGGATTAAGTTGTTATCTTTCCCATACTCTTTTCCCAACTGTGTAGCTTAGTGTGTGTTCAATCTGTTAACTGTGTAGGGTTGGCGACTGGGGAGGCACGCTCTAGCATACTGTAACCCAAACTCTGTGAGTAACAATTGTGTTAAGATATGTTCAAAATGATTATTTTCTGAACAATTGAACTGTACTGCTTTCTGAACTGTTACTGTTAATTGAATGAATGTATGTCCTATGTTCTGAACTGTATTGTGGCATCCTTAGCACCTACTGTTTACTGTTACTGTGACAGAATTCTCTGTCGGTTCCCTTGTTGGAACCACTACTGTTTACTGACTGATGGCCATCATTACTATTCGGTCTTTAAGACCTATTGTTTACTGCTATGCTAATGGATGTACCACATATGACTGAATAACTGTTCTGACTGAAAGACTGAAGTATTGTTTAATGAACTGATTTCATTACTGTAAGGACATTTCATTCATAACCCCTTTACGCATTATGTTATTCACTGGGCTTTAGCTCACTGTTTATATATTTATGTAGGTGCTTAGCCACCAGATCGGAGCTAGGAGCGTGGGTTAGACTCCAGTTTTGTCAAGACAGCCTTTGTGCCTCACTGCGAGGTTCTGAGTTGCCATGCTACGGCTTTGGAGTGTCTTGTTTTCCCCCCGTCTGTCTCCATACTGTTTGGATTTCTGTATAGACTGTTAGCTGCTAACCGTACTGCTATCAAGGGATTAGGTCCCTGTACTGTGTGACTGTAAATTTTGTATAGACTGTATTGTTTGTATATGTGAATGCATGAAAAATCTTTTTGGCATGCAGACTGTCACAGCTCAATGGACATTATTCATTTACTGTATTGGCTTCCGCCAGGCCCTGTACTCTGTTTTACTGTACTACTGTTAAGCAGGCCTTCGGTAATCTCGGATTACTGGCCGGTTACGGTGCTAAACCCATAGGGCCGGGTTTGGGTCGTGACACTAACACACACAGCCACCACTCAAAAAAAGTAAATAATAAAAAAAAATATTTGTGGTCGAGGCAAATTCGAGGCCTCTAGCACCGTTGAATTAATAAAACCATTCATAAAAATATTTAATTTTAATTCAAATCAAAATTTCCAATTATATTTTCGGTTAACCACATCACAATCAGCCCTGGTTATCCAACTTTTAATGCAATTACTAATGTATCCGACATACACGAGTATCAGGACATGGATTTGAAATGGAAGAACCCGAAATCTGTGCTGCTAATGTATTTGAGATATATCAGGACATGGATTCGAAACGGAAGATCTCCAAATCTGTAGTGCTAATGTATCTGAGATATACGAGTATCATCAGGACATTGATTCGAAATCGGAAATTTCGTTTTGGTTTTATTGTAAATGGGTGCATTTTGATTTGGTTTAGTAGTGTCAATGCCAACGATATGTTAAATTTGATTGCTCATTTAATTATGGGTTTTGACAGCTCATTTCATGTATAAATTAAAGAGTTCTGATTGCTTATTTAGGAGGAGGTGAAGAGGAGACCATTGCTAGATTATGTTGAGATGGCACGAAAGGATGTGAGCCCCAACATGAGGGCAATTTTGGTGGATTGGTTGGTGAAGGTTGCGGAGGAATACGAGCTTCACTCTGATACTCTGCATCTATCTATCTTTTACATTCATAGATTTTTTTCAATGAATGATCTCAACAGGTAGAAACTCCAGTTGCTCGGTGTTTCTTCAATGCTCATCGCATTGTAAGCTCTCTGACCTCTTAAACTGCTGGATGTTTTTGTAAAGATAATCAATTTGGATGATTGGTACTTAAATTTCCTTGTTCAATCTTGATGAGTAGAAAGTATGAGAAGATCAATCATCCACCTATGGATGAATTTTGTTACCCAACCGACAACGCATACACAAAGAAAGAGGTGGTAAAAATGGAGGCGGACATACTCAAACATCTCAAGTTTGAAGTGGGTGGTCCCACAATTATGACATTTTTAGGGTATTATTGCATTGTCAACATACAATCTTTCTTTTCATCGGTGATCTTGTGATTCAATTGCCTAATAAATGTTGCCTTCTTGATTGTTGATTTTTTTTTTTTTTTGGTTTTGTTTTGTTGAGAAAATTCATTGTTGTTGCTCAAAAAGATTACCAAGTAAGCTCAACTCTCTCTATTGTGTGTGTGTGTGTGCACGTGTTGCCTATTTTGCTTGCTGATTTTTGTTATTGACTTGTTGGGTACTTATTAATGTTCTTGTTCTTATGAAGATTCCCAATTTGAAGTTGGAGTTCTTGGGTTACTACCTAGCAGAGTTAAGCTTGTTGGAGAATGACTGTGTGATACTCTTGCCTACTTTGGTGGCTGCATCTGTAGTATTTCTTTCACGGTTTACAATCCAACCAAAGTTACATCCTTGGGTAAGAGCCTACTTTTGAATACTTCAAGTCTCAGGCTCATGATTAAGCTCTTGATTAGCAAGTTGTAAATTAATCTTATGTCCTGTTACAGAGTTCGGCCCTGCAAGATTTCTCTAGCTACAAACCCGCTGACCTAAAGGAATGTGTTCTTATCATACATGATTTGCAATTAAGTAAAAGGAGAGGCTCTTTGGTTGCATCAAGAAATAAATACAAGCAGTATGAGGTATATACATGTTTGTGAACTTGTTATTGGCATTGTAGTGAATGGTCATCTTTAAAAATGACTATCTGATTGAAATTTAATGACTTTCTTGGAACAGTTCAAATGCATCTCAACATTGTCCTCTCCTCAGGGGATACCGAATTCTTTTTTTGAAGATGTTCAAGATTCATAGTGAGGGTTAGGAGAATTAGTTGATCTTGCTTGATTGATGGGGAGATGATTGTCTTGAAGAATGTTCTTGCATCGGAAGGTTAGCTAATTCAGAAAACTCCCAATGGTTAATCGTGTTTGATAATTGCTGGTCGTTTCGCTGATTTGGTTGGTTTGAGCTGCTGGTGTGATCAATTTCTGCTGGACTTAAAAAAAAGTGCATGAATGGCATTGTTGAGACAGTGGTTACTAATATTAGCAATAATTGGATAAGAAGTGTGGGATTTTGTTAGCATGTGGTTCATTGCTTAATAGTTTATGATTAGGTAGTGTCATTACCACTTTTTTTTTTTTAATCGTTTTCAAATTATTCGTACTAACAAAATCCTAAACTGGGTGAATGAGGCAATTAGGGTGGAAAGATTTCCCTTCTTACTTAAAATAAATTATGAAATTTATTTTGTGATACATAACAACCTTGTTTCATTTATATTTTACTCTCCCCTTTTTTATAGCCAGCCAACACAATCTTCCGAGGAAGAATTACCACAATAAAAGTAACAAGATCATAACTGGAGAATTATTGGAACTTCATGGGCCACCCTTGCTTCATAGTACAGCTTTTCAGGTGGCCTGTGGGTGAAATATATTTAAAATGGTTAATTTGCTAAGGTCTCTTTAATTAGTAATAAATATTACTTTCTTATTTTCATCTATGAATCTAAATATATTGATTTTTTCAATTAAAAAATTGTACAAATACATCCGTTTCGAAAGTTATGCATAAAAAATAAAAGTGATACATTTTTATAATTGAAAATGTTAAAATATTTCAATTCATAGAGATAAAGTGAGATTGTATTAGGGGTGTTTTGAGAAGATGGTACAAAGTTTATTTTTTGGCTTTTTTTTAGCTTTTTTAGCTTTTTTATGTGAGAGATGGTATGATCCAAAATGGATTAAAAACTGACTTTTGACTTTTAATGATGTTCCCAAATGGCCCCTTAGTGTAATTAACCCTACTTAAAAAGAATCATGCTAAAAATAATTTTATCGAATTGTTGTTGAGGTAAAACATAATATCAAACTTATTAAAATTTAATTGTAGTTTTTTTATATACTTTTGTTTTTTTTACACATAAAGCAAAACTAATAATGAATGCCATTGAATGGTCATTAACATTTTCTATTTGAAAATAATGATAATATGGATTATTATTATCATTTTATTTTTTGGAAAAAAATATTTAAAGAAATGAAATAAAAGAGAAGGAGAAGCAGGAAAGCAGGGCAGGCAGGTGGGAGGCATCAATATTGTGAATGAAATGTTGGCTTTAATCTAATTTATTATCATATCAGCAAGGGAATCTCACTTGGTAACTGTTAAATAATTGGCATTTTAATTTAGGAAAACTATAATGACAATCCAAGTGGTAGTCATTAATCTCAATAAACAGAAAAGAAGAAAAATTTAAATGTGTAAAATTGATTGAAAATATATAACATAGTATGGTTCATTCATTCTACATCATTCCAATCTCATTTCAATGAATTAAATACCATCTAACATATTTAGAAATGTGTAAAAATATCTGTTCCTATTAAATGCACTACTAGAAAAGTGACTTTTTGCTTCTAATTTTTTGCAACTGACTATTTAACGGTCGCAAAAAATCAATATTTGCGACCACAAAAAAATAAATGAATTGAAATATATTTATTTCAAAGCAACATGATTTTCCTTCCTCAATTTATTATTCCTATTTCTTTTATTTATTTTATATGCCAATGCCCTAGCCCCTTTCACTCTCACGACATTCACAAACTCTCTCTCTCTTGCTCTCTTGCTCACCATAGTCACAGCTTCCATGGTTGAATCTCTGTCTCTCGGTCTTTCACTTTCTTCATCATGCTCTATTTCTGTGATCTTCAATTTCATTTTCCGACTCGAAATTCTATTTTCCAAGTTGAATTTTCTCGAGAAAGTTGCAGCCTCTGCAAGATTTGATCGATGATGAAGCAGAAAATTGTTGAGTGAAATTAGGTTAATTGTTTGATTGAGCAAAGAGAGATTAATTGTTTGATCGAAAAAAAAAAAAAAAAAAACAGAGATGAGAAGCGTGAACAACAACACTCTAGATATGATAAGCGCTGCTACGACTGCAATTGCTTCAGCTAGGACTCAAGCTTTGGTTCAGGTAAACAATTTGATTTGAATTTTAACTATAATTTACGTTACTTGTTGTGGTTGATGATTTGATTATCTCAATTAGATACATGAATCTCTCGAGTTTTAATTTCTAATTCTAAGCTCTGTATAATCTGAACATTTAGGTTCAAGATTTGTTGATTATCTATGTTACGTTGATCATTTCACTTTGTTTGATGTAGTTTTTGGAAATTATATTTGTTTAATGCTTTTTAATTGTTTTTTTTATTTGTTGTTGTTGTTGTTGCTGCTGCTGCAAGTCATCCTCATCATCTTGAAATCGAGAAGGCAAAGAAGCTGCTGAAAGTAAGAACTGAGATGTATCCTAATATATATATATATATATATATATCACTTTGTTAATGTTATTTTTTTTTTAAGTGCTTGAATGAACAAGCACTGATTATCTCTTTTGAGAATATGTGAGGACTTTCGTTTATCTCATATGCTGTCTATTTTGCACTTCTTATTGCAGTTCCTTAATAATCATCAAATAATATATGTCTCTGCTAATAAGCTTTAACATAAGTAGTCACAAAAGAAATTTTCATGTATTTCTTGTCGTGTTATATCCTGTTTGTGTTCAGTAATTCATGAACCACTTCTTCTCAATGGATGGCTGTTCAACACAACAAATGTGTAACATCACTTGAATAGTTTATCTTGCTCTTTACAGTGTTGGTACATGGCACTTTATTAACTACCAGTTTAGTGTATTTGCTACAGCCTCAAAATAAAATGTTGTGCATATTGCTTACAAGTAGATTGTGTTTGTCCTATTTTTCGCTTTCCTCTTGGATTTTTTTTATATTTTTTATTCTTGGGGAATTACTATCTACTTGATTTAGGATAATGTCATCTGTTTTTATAGTGTCATTTTTAACAAGAATAGCTTTGTTTTGTGTAGATTCGTATGCTGGATTTAGTGCTTAAGGCATCACCTGAAGATTCTAAGGAGCCTCAAACCGCTCGCATCTTGCTTTACAAATTATTCTATGATCAAACTGATCAAGGCAGTGTTTTTTAAGGCGAAAAGCAAACCGAGGCAACAAGGTCACCTAACGCCTAAGCGCGAGGCGACGAGGCGAGGCAAGGGCTTCATCGAAGCGAGGCGACCAGAAATGATATTTTTTTTAAAATAAATGGTATAGACAAAAATATAAATATTTTCAAGAACTAGGAAATTGAATTAAAATAATTAATTGAACAACCAGGAAATTAAAATAACCAACAAATTAATTGAATTAATTGAATTAAACAAATTAATTGAATTAAAATAATTAATTGAATAACTAGGAAATTAATTGAATTAAAATAATTAATTGAATAATCAGGAAATTAATTGAATTAAACAAATTAATTGAATTAATTAATTGAATAACAGGAAATTAAAATAATCAGGAAATTAATTGAATTAATTGAAATTTTAACACAGAAGAAAAAAAATAATTGAATTAATTGAAAAAAATTAATTTCAAAATAATTGAATTAATTTTAAAAATTAATTTTTGCGAATTAAAAATTAATTTTAAAAAAAAGGATTAATTCGAAGTCGAACAGTGTTCGACAGTGCTCTTCTTCTTCAAGTCGAAGTCGAACAAAGAACAGGTGAAGTCGAATAGGTCCGACAGTGAACAAAGGAGAAAGGAAGAAGAAGAAGAAAGGAAGAAGAAGGAGGAAGCAGACCTAGGCGATCGACTTCAGCAGAAGAAAACCAGATGCTGCGATTCGACTTCGGCAGATGATGCACTCCACCAAGTCGATCTAGGGTTTAGCTTCTTATTTCGTAATTAACTTTGTCGATCAAGGGCCCAGATGTTTCGCACTTAAATCAGGCAAAAATACGATGAAGCGTCGCTTCTTTCTGCCTCACGCTTCATCGCCTAAGCCTCGCTTCAGGCGCTTCTAAGTCGCCTCACCATTTTGCCTCGCCTTAGCACGCATGAAGCGCTGAAGGCTCGCCTCGCCTTGCTTAGCGCTTAGGCGAGCGTTTAGGCTCGTCTCTGATAACACTGGATCAAGGAATGACTCAGTTCCTTTTGAACCAAATCAAATCATTTGATACTCATAAACAAGCCAAAAGGTTTTGTTCTTGCACTTCAGCACCTTAAAATGCTTATTCTCAATTTGTGATTATGAATTTTGTGTCAAGTAAGTTACTTGCACCTATGGAACTTCATATAATAGAACTTGTGGCTTCGCTTTGGAGGTAATTTATATTGTTGTTATCTCTTTTGAAGTTGATAATGTTAATGTTGGCCTAAATTAAAAGTTCATGTATTCTCTGTTTTTATCTTTGTTGATCCTTAAACATGTGTGCTGGATGTAGCTTAGTTTGCTCGACATATTGCTTCCCTCCAAATTGTTCATTGGTCTCTTCTCATTGGTGCTAAATTAAAATCTTACAAATATTGTTATGATGAGTTTTTGTTTTTTTTTGTTTTGTTTTTTTTATGTATCTTGTTTGAGTGATAAATCATTTCTTGGATTAATGTCGTCAAACTTACTTGACATAAAGTGTAGAAGAAGTGTTAATGTCGTCAAACTTCCATGAGGTAGTTGAAAAACTTCTGTGCTTAATTCTTGCCTAATATGCAGTCAAACTTAATTGAGAATGAAAATGAATTAAGATAAAACAAATAAGCATTCTTGTCCATTGATCTAGTCAATAAATATCATATTTTATTATGACCTCTTTTCTTTTCATTTTTTAATTTTTTTTATTTTCTATGAAAGATACATTGGTCTCAATGATGGGTGAAGCATAACTTTAGTTGTACCTAAGAAATTTAAAAAATAAAAAATAAAGAGGGTGAAATCATGTGTTGACAATTAATATTTATATATATATATATATATATATTTCTTGAAAATTTGCATGGCAAAATTGAAAGATTGTGGTACATAACAATTTATATCCAATTTAAGTACGTGTGTGTGTGCGCGCGCTCGCGCGTAGAGTATGTATTGCTTGGGTTGTTTTTATGCTTTGTTTGTTTGCTGAGAAAATCTATTTTTTGCTTTATTTGCACTTTTGGTCTCTATGTATCGCTCTTAATTCCGGCTTTAAGTGATGAATAATATTGATTCTATATATTTGTAATGCATTTGTTGTTATTTTCTTAGCCAACCAGACAAT